CCCCCAAGTTGGCATTATTGGGTATCTCTGATAGGCAACAACCTTGGGTTTCACCCCATATGAGGCAATTTTTTACCCACCAGTATCTACAAAGTCTGTACAGATTGAACACAGACATACTTCCCATAATGTGTCAATGCTTGCACATTTACCTTCAGTTAAATGGATTTATTATAACAAAAAAAATATAGCAAGAGCCACCGCCGGGCAGGGGTCTCACAGCACTCAACTTTTTTTACTTTTTTAAAAAGCAAACAAAAAAAAACAGTTTTAACAAATCTTAAAGAAAAAAAGTTTTTTTTTATATATGCCAAAACAACTGTAAAAATACCTCTATTTTATTTTTTCAAAATCAATCAAAAGTCAATGACTGCACTTTTGCCTTGAGTTAAATATAGATCAAAATGTTTATTATAACCCAAAAATTTGTCTATCTCATATATATTATTTACAGTATGGAATACTAACTTGCTTGTGTCACATGCATATTAATAATATTTTAAATGAATGAAAACACCTTGACATATTGCACTAAATTTCCTGTAGAAGTGTGATATAATAAAATTATATGGTTCCATCATAATGGCATTGAGTGCTTTTAGCACTTTGATAATTACACACACTGTCAATATGAAATAAAGGGAGATAGATAACTTTGGGATAAAAATAAACTAGATATAGTTATACACCTTGGCCTAAATTTGTTATAACTTTCTGCTAGCCTTAAAGGAATAGGAATGGATGGATTGATGTCTGTCTAATATAAATATTCATCATTAAAAAAAGTGGAACTATGACAGTTATTCTATTGACATCAACCCTATAAGAGAGAAATTTGTGTTTTAAGACACTATTTTTACTTGAGAAATAAGTTCATGGGCGCCGCCATTTTGGCGTTCTGTCATTCTCGCGAGACAGACGAGACCGAGATTGTGACGTGTTATACCCACTTCCGGTATAGGTGTACACGCTGGTACAACTGATATATATCTTGATGAAGAACTTATTAATTTTATTGCGTTCATTATATATTATTTATGAAAACATCGTATGGAACTGAATTGCTTTAAATAATTAATTGAAAACGCCGCGACATTAATTATCATTTGTCCGATATTCAAGCTTGCTGATGATCCCACCACATGATTTAAGCAATGACTGCCTAATTTTCAAAGATAAACCATTAATTAAATGGGTACTATGAGAAACTTCTTCAAATTGACGATATATCCTTTTATTTTGTACTAATTTTCGCTAGACGAGCTGTCCAAATAGGGTACATCGCCAGTCATGTATCTTTTTTTCCGGTAAAATATCAACTAAATCCAATATGCCGAGGACGCGATTTTCCGCCGTTGACGCTAAAAATGAGAATGGCGCAGGAAAATCGACAGCCAGACTAATATCGTATGAAAACAAAACTGTCCGTTAGGTTATTTAGGCACCCAGTCAAAACTGGTACCAACAGCAACAGGTTGCCCATTCCTCTATAATTACGCATATTTTTGGGTTTATCCAGTTCCCTAAAGCTTTTTTCCACGTTATCTACTTACAAAATTCCTTTCCCAGACAGATACGCATTTCTACTACCGTAAATTTAATCCAATAAAACAAAAAATCATAAATCTACTTAATATTTAAAATGATTATTGGTAACTGAAAAAAATGTGTTGCTATTTTATGACGTGCTGTAATTTACTACAGTATAATTTGACAGGTGTGGAACCTAATTCTCCCTAAGGTCATTCAGTTCACTGATGAAGCGTAAAGAAAAATAGATGTCTATTTCGTCATTAGAATATTTGACAATGGTGATTATCCAATCAAGGCAACATTGTGCATGATCAAAAGGTCTGTCGGCACAGAGGCATACAAGGAGCAATAAAAATCGTCAGTACACAGTGTGATAGAGGATATTTGTTTAGTTCAGTGTAAGATCGTAATATATTTCACCGAGTGAGCACCAAAAGGAATATTTCACGAGTGGCGCAGCCACGAGTGAAATATGAACTTTTGGTGTTCACAAGGTGAAATATATTTCAATCTTACACTAAACTAAACAAATTTTCTTTTTATTATATGCAAAGAAACGTTTTAAAAAGACATTTAACCTAATACTGAATGAAAAGCGCGCCAAATAATTATACAACGTGACGTCATTTACGACGTCACGTCATTAAGTTGGTACCCAGTACCGTGCACGCTGGTATTACACTGAAACAACGTAAGGGGCTTAAATTCAAAACAGTGAAATTATCAAAGTGGTAATTTCACTGTTTCAAACAGTGAAATTACCAGTTTTATATCACTGATATATTTCTATAAACCACCGAAAAGCATGTAATAAACAGGATTATTTGGTGCAAATTAGGAACAATTAAAATGGACAATGCGCAGTATTAGACATAAGTAGTAAGAACCAGCAATTGTGTGAATAAATTATGCAAATTAGATTTTTGAGCAGCCAATAAAAATGATTTGCCTGCAGTTAATATAAGGCTACGATTACGATGCGCAGCATCATACGTTGACAGACATGTTAATAATTTACTTTTCAAAAGAGTTTCTTATATTTTTGAAATGTGTACATCAATTATAACATTTGTTCACACCTTTAAATTTGAAAGTCAGAATCAAACTGCAAAAATTTAATTATATGTACTATTAAGAACACGTTTTAGTAGGGTTTTTATAATGGAAGTGCAAGGACACACTGTATTGGCTAGCCGTACGGCACTTTTCAAAATTTTATGGAAGTCAAAAATGCATATGTTATTTTATTACTTAAATTTTTTACTGCATTTCACCGTTTTTTATTCATTCAATGTTCTTTTTATTTATTCAATCATTTTTTATTCGATCCATGTGCTTAAAATTAACAAAAATGATTAAATAATTCATACAAATAAAACAACAAATAATGCATGAAAATCAACAATTTTATAACGTTCGACTTCCATATAATTTTGATAAGTGCCATACGGCTAGACAATACAGTGCGTCCTGGCTAGTCGTTCGTGACTCACGTACGGCTAGAACTTTTGGCTTGCCGTACGGCTAGAACTTTTGGCTATCCGTACGTTTCTTTATTTTTTTTTTTCTTTTTTTATTTTTTTTTTTTTTTGATATTGTTAAATATTTTGAACCATAAAAAAATCTCCTCTACATCTCCTGTGAAAATTAAATTGTCTGGTCAATACTTTATTATATTAATATTTCCTTACGATTCAACTAGATTTATCATGAATCTAAAGATGTGGGGAAATGACATCACGCGCACCTGTTTTTATACGGCCAATACACAAACATGGCCGCGCTTACTGATTTGTAGAAATCGGTGATTTAACAATTTAAATTTTGTTATCATTCGTTTAATATTATTATTTGGCGGCAGAAAATTTGCAGATTTATTATTTATAGTATTCTTTTTCTGAAATCAAGTTTTTATTCTTAAACCTTGGGTTTCCCTTTAATTTAGTAATTCTATTAAGTACAATACATACAAATTTCCACACCTTTAAGCATTATGCTACTGAATAAATGATATAACTTAACACAGGCTAATATACTCTAGTTAATAAAATTTGTACTTGGAGTCAATATTATATCACTTACCAGATAAATATTTGATGTATTGCCTACATTATAACAACTTATCATAATTACACCCTGGAAAAAATATCATGCTCAAAAGAATTCACAGTCAGTTGAAAACAATCAATCCAAAAGTCTAAAATTTCTGTACAAATTACATGATGGCTTACAAGATCAAAATGCTAAAATCATGAGCTGCCAAGAGGAAAGTGCCAGACCCAGATCTGAGAGAACATGAAGTTTCAGTATTATACTAAACAAGGTCTATATTATATCATGACATAGTTTAATTCAAACATAATCATTTATTCTTCATTGCGCAAGAATTCTGGAACTTATACGTTAATTAAGCACAAATCAACTTCCTGAAATAATATTTATCATTTACAATTCTTAACAAAGAATAACAATCATTGATCACAACTGTCACCTGATGATAGCCATTTAATCAGTTGTATATAGGGGTGATTGGATAGTTTGTTCCCTGTCTGTTGCTGCTACTTTTTGGTAGTGTAGACAGACAGACAGACAGACAACAGAGAAGAGATCGCTATAATTTTTTGTCACTGTTTCTCAGTGTAACACTTGACACAAAAATTGTCAAAAGCAAAGGTCATTGGCTCAAACCAACAAACTCTTGTAATTATAGCTACATAAAAGTAATTCTACCCTGAACGTTACTTCCAAAACTCAAAGGATTCTTGACTTTAATTAGTCAATCATGAACAGAATAAAATGTACTTATTTCTGTCCCTTTACAGCAGTGTCAGTTAAATGCTGTTAACTCATTTCTATAAAATATCAGGTAGGCACTTAGTTCAGTTGTGACTGTCCAATTAATCATAAATTATAATCACATTATCAGTCTTTCACTTACTCAATTTTTATAGAAAATCAAGCCAGCTAACTGAATGAATTTTTCAGATATTGTGCTAGTTTATAAATATATAGAAGAACATTAGTGAAAAAACCATCTTAACTGCACTCCACTCCTTTAATATCTTAAATTTCCCCCCCGTATTAGATTCAAATCTGCAGCAATGATAATCAAGTAATACAGTGAACATGATCATTTGCCCAAAGACATAGTTACACTTCTGTTCCCTTTATATACATGTATATAATTGTTTTATAATACAGCTCGTTTGTAACATCACTTTTCATTGGATAAGCAAGATGTTTATATAGCTTTATATACATGGCTGCTATCAATTTATGAAGAAATCTCACCTATTTTTCTCTAAAATAGGAAGTTTGTTATATTATAAATTTGTTATAAATATTCCAGACAGGTTATATGACCATATATAATAGTTGTTTGCTATATAACCATTACCTAGCAGCTCTGGTTATATTTCAAACAACCATAATTATAACCTGTCAATCTTTATAGATATTCGACTTACATGTTCTTATGATGACCAAATTTCCGATGAGCCAGTGGGCTACCTAGCAACACTGGGTTGCTATGGTGATGGTGGTCATTTTGGACAGAACTGACATCATGGCAACTCCTGCTCAGTCCTTGACCTACATTCCTCTTGGCAACTAACCCTGAAAATAAAAATAATTTTGTAATTAAACTTTGGCAAAATAATCATACATATGACTGTAAAAATTAAGAAACTTTTTAACTAAGTCAACAATACATGCATAATTCTAAAAGATTTAGTTACATGAAAACCTTTGCCCTTATTAAAGGATTTAGTCCCGAGATGCCCTGTAAAAATCAAGGGAAGTAAATTTGTGTGCAACAGTACAATTATTTAGTTTCTTATAGGTTACATATATAAATATACATCAATTTTACAACCACATATCTACACAATTTACAAAAAGGGTCATTATAAGGCTCTCTCCCATGTAAATGTTTGACATCAGTTTCATAAAGTAAAAATTTATATTAAAGTAAATATGCATTAAGTTACTTCCGGTAGCTTTGTAGAATTAAGCCAATGAAATTCTTTCTAAAGTGTACCTAATTAACATTGCAATAAAATTTGTTTGGCATCTTCTGTTACAGAATCACAGTTGCATGCTGAATACTGAGTAAAATGATTTGTAAACAGGTCAGCATTTATTCCTAATGCTAGCATGGTAGACAGCAAATACTGGGGCTTTATATAATACTTCAAACTGCTTTTTATTTAAGTAAAGGGGCACAACTTGATATAAGACAATAATAATTGAATTGAAAGGGTTCTTTCCCTTGAGTTGATGGTAGAATTCAAACTGCTTATTATGTAAGTAAAGGGGCACAACTTGTTATAAGACAATAATAATTGAATTGAAAGGGTTCTTTCCCTTGAGTTGAAACCACAAAATAGCAGCATTTTGTTTTGTTGTCAAGCTAATTCGAAGTATTATTTTTTTTACTTTATGTGTCTTTTCATTAACTTCCTAAACATTATTTTTTAAATACACTTAAACAAGAATATATTGAATAAAAGTCCAATTAAGTCAATTTAGAGGCAAAATTATGCCCATGTAAGAGTAGATGGAGAGTATTCAGGTAAAATGAAAATAATTTCACATTTTGTCATATTAGTTTTCAATTTAATAACAAATGACACCTGAGTAATCAATAATCCCCATGACCCATATAAATATCTATAAATATCCTTTTGAAACTATCGGAAATGTTCAATTTAGAAAAAGGTGAGTCAGTCTTTTTATATTTTAGGCAGTTTTACTATATCCTATATTCTATATCCTTAACATTTTGTAATTATCAGTTATTGTTCAATCACCATTAAAATCATTTGAAATATACAATGATTTCACTTAAGCTTGACAGTCAAAACATGAGCAAAAAGTCACTATAAGATGAGTGACAAATTATGTGAAGCTTTCCAATCACATTATCATGGGAATACAATCATGAATGTCAGTGTTAAATCAAAGCACAGAAGGCGCTGAATTTGTTTGGGTCTCAGAATGTCAGAAAGGTGAAGGTTGTGAGATTATAAACCAATTTTGTTTTTGTACAGTGCCGCAAATGCTATTCAGCGTTTTAATTGTAGTAAATTGGCTATAAGACTAATTGCAACACTGATATTCAATTCAATGTTTATTTGACTTAAACAATTTGAAAAAAAAGATGAGTTGCCTTAACTGGGATTTGAACTCCTGACCTCTCGCTTCCTAAGCGAGCGCACAAACCCCTCGGCCATGGTTAAGTTATATGTGAAAGGCCTAAAGAAAACCATATCATTCTTAATTAAGGTTTGTAACCCTTATTATTTCGATGCTAACTGTTGTTTAACACAGATGTAAATAATCATGGAGCTTACTATAAGCATGTATATCTATAAAGAATAAAACAATATTAGAAATCTTCGACCATTCGGGAACTATTTTGCTTGAAAATTAATGCACCTGTCATTTGACCATCTTTACGCAGTGATCTCTCCTGAATTTTTCGGCTTTAGTGTACATATAAAGGGAGGTAACCGCTTCAAAAAAGCAGACTACTTTCAGCATTTGCAATTAACAGCATCAGGGTCTGAAATTTCGCTACCATTATTTGTTTGGTCTGACAACCCAAACAAATAAAAACCCTTTTCTTTTAGGATGTGTTTTATTTCACAACACTTTTTACTGGTGTTTGTGTGTGTGGGGGGGAGGGGGAGGTTATAAAACAGGTGCCTCCTTTGTGCCTATTTCATTCCCATGCCCACATTGTTAAATTAAGCCAATAGCTACCATTTTCAAATACCTTTTTTTACAACATATTACGTAACAAACAGAAACAAATAGTTAACAGATCTTTATTGTGGTCATTGGCTTTTTTTACAATTTTTTTTTGTAACCAGAATGAGGCATGATCAATATTACTCTGGTACTGTGGTATACAAGGTCTTTTTTTCCGTGCAAGCTCATGATAAAAACGATATTCAATCAATGAAAACTATTATAGAATGTCAGATATGGTACATTATATCTAATTAAACCAGTAATAGAAATGCCCCTCTAACACCAGATATTCCATTTCTGCTTGTTTTGAAGCCCTAGTCAAATTATGAAGAATTTTCACCAGATTCACACATACTGAACATAAAAAAACAGGCTATATTTCTTTTTTAATTATTAGGGCTGGGGCGAGTATCCGAGTACTCGGATAATCACGAATCAAAATGAAAAATCGAGTTTGAATATTCTTAAGCCCAGAGATCGTGGATCGCGATCTAATTTTTTTTTATATACATTCACTGTTTTTCACACTCATAAAATCGAGAAAAATACGATTTGAGTATAAATTATATGAAGTTTACCTAAATACAATTTGCCGGTTAAAGACCATGTACCATGATGCTGAGCTTAAGGAAGTAATTGGTTTCAAAAAAACAAAACAAAAATACTCATCCAAAGAATAGACATAAAACTAGTTTATATTTTTATATGTTTAATGTTTAGTATTGTTGTTTTTTTTAAATAAACATGTTTTTATAACTAATGTACATGTTTTTATGGGTGTCTTGTTTTTATGGGTGTCTTGATAACAAAAGATTTGTGGTTCGATTTGTGAATCGTAAGTGCTAAATCGTGGATCGGATCGTCACTTATCCGACGATCCACACCCCTATTAATTATTACATTGTACTTAAAATTAATGCATGCGTGTTTACAAAAAAGGCGTGCCTTTCAATGCAAATATAAGTTTTTCAATTCAATTCAGGAAGTTAAAGATTTTAAAAACCTATATACATAATTTGTATGTCATGACAGAAATTGTACAAAAATGTCTACACTGCCTATCCAATGGACAACTTTAAAACATGTATGAAGAAATACTGTATAACCTCTATAGAGAAGCCCTCTGTACAGCTCAATTAACCTCTTTACAACATTTATCATAAAGTAAGACTTCAGCTTTCCAGTGCAACACCTCACACCAACAACCAAAATCTTGGTCTTGGTCTCCCAAAGGGTGTTGCTGTGACGGCAAAGGCTTAGATAAATCTTCTGTACTTAACATTACAAAAAACTAATATTAAACAAATTATTATACAACTTAAACATGTATTGCAATATACAAAACATGAGCTGATCATGGTCAACTGCATTGTTTGCTTTTCAGTCTGTACATAATTTCAAAATTGCATGATTTATACAGTCCTTAAAAATAATGAAAAGTCTTTTAATGTAAAATTGTTATTATTCATGGGGGATAATTTTTTGTGAATCTTGTGGATCAGGTCAACCACGAAACAAGAATGTCGAACGACACATATACCCCCCTTTCTAGCCATTGACTCACATAATTGGTAATTTTATTACAGAAACTTGCCAAAAATGGGTACATAGAAGTGTTCAATTATGGAAAAATCAACAGAAACCATTTTGACATTTAAGGCCCATGTGACATTGACCTTTGACCTAATGACCCCTAAATCAATAGGAGTCATCTACTACTTATGACCAATAATTAAGTGAAATATGAAGCTTTTGTGATGAATACTTTTCAAGATAATCAGCGGAAACCATTTTGACATTTAAGGCCCCTGTGACCTTGACCTTCGACCTAGTGACCCCAAAATCCAAAGGGGTCATCTACTAGTTATGGCAAATCACTATGTGAAATATGAAGACTTTGTGATAAATACTTTTCAAGATAATCAGCGGAAACCATTTTGACATTTTAAGGTCCCTGTGATCTTGACCTTTGACCTAGTGACCCCAAAATCAATAGGGGTCATCTACTAGTGATGATCAATCACTATGTGAAATATAAAGACTTTGAGATACATACTTTTCAAGATAATCAGCGGAAACCATTTTGACATTTTAAGGCCCCCGTGACCTTGACCTTTGACCTAGTGACCCCAAAATCAATAGGGGTCATCTACTAGTGATGACCAATCACTATGTGAAATATGAAGACTTTGTGATACATACTTTTCAAGATAATCAGCGGAAACCATTTTGACATTTAAGGCCCCTGTGACCTTGACCTTTGACCTAGTGACCCCAAAATCAATAGGGGTCATCTACTAGTGATGACCAATCAATATGTGAATTATCAAGACTTTGTGATACATACTTTTCAAGATAATCAGCGGAAACCATTTTGACATTTAAGGCCCCTGTGACCTTGACCTTTGACCTAGTGACCCCAAAATCAATAGGGGTCATCTACTAGTTATGACCAATCACTATGCGAAATATCAAGACTTTGTGATACATACTTTTCAAGATAATCAGCGGAAACCATTTTGATATTTAAGGTCCCTGTGACCTTGACCTTTGACCTAGTGACCCCAAAATCAATAGGGGTCATCTACTAGTTATGACCAATCACTATGTGAAATATGAAGACTTTGTGAAAAATACTTGTCAAGATAATCAGCGGAAACCATGTGGTCTACCGACGGACAGACAGACAGACCGACAGACAGACAGACCGACAGACAGACAGACAGACCGACATTAGCAAAACAATATACCCCCTCTTCTTCGAAGGGGGGCATAATGAAGTCCCCACGAACACATTGTGCCCAAGATAATATATAGTATGCTTATTCACTCAATAGCACCATAAACAATAGCA